ATTATCGAGTGGGAACTCCTTGAAGATCTTCTGAACTTCGTCAGCCAAGGCCTGAACGATGGGGCGCCCGTGGGCATGCAGACACGATGCTATCTTCTGATGAAAAGCCCCATCAGGCGAGAACAATGGCGAAGACGCAAGATCCTGCATGGACTTCTTGAACTCCTCCCCGACGGCGTCGTTGCTCGAACGGAAGACAGCCTCGAAGTTTTTCTGCATCTTCTGGGCGTCCTCAATCGTGGCATCTTGCTTGGTGATCGTTGCACCGCACTCGACCAGGCACTCAATCAACTTCAGGAAGAAGTCGCAGGCTGTTAGGTCAGCGCTACTGCCGAAGACCACCTTGCACTGCACAAGCGTGGAAGTGAGGTCGAGCATCCTGTTTCGTGATGCGCTGGACTGCTCTACCCAAGTCGCCAAGGTCTCCAAGGTGGCCCCCCCGCTCATGACGGGCTTCAAGACGTCAACCCACGCGAGGCGCACGCTTGACGCCAGGTGCAAGAAGTGCTCGCAACGCTCGCCCTTCGAGAAGTCGGGCTTGAACGACGCCAGGCACAGCGGCACCTTCGCCTCGAAGTCCGAACGCAGCTCAAGTAACGCCGCGCGGAGCTCGCCGAGCGACGCGACGTTGGTTGCGCCGATGTGTGGCAATACGGCGTCCGCGGTCTCCTTGAACTTGTTCATGGGGGCTGCCAGAGATGCAATGATCCCCTGCGTATGCTCTGCTTTGGCCACGTGCGCCCGGAACGACTCGAGCAGCTTCCGCCCCCTGGGGAGGCCCATGAGCGCGCCCCCGAGCTGGGTTCCAGTCGTGGGCTTCGCGGCCTTGTCAAGCGTATCCACGGCCTCCTTCCCCAGCTCGACGAGCAGGCCCAGGTCGACATACGAGAACATGCACCAGCACACCCCGAAGGCGGTGAGGAACGACATGGCGTCATCCTCTAAGTCGAAGTCGCGGTCCTCGGCGAACAGCTCGTCGAAGGTCGAGTTCATGTCAGCGTCCTTCATCTTCAAAATTGTAGACATACGCTCGGACCACAAGCGTTCCTGCTCCTCTGAGACGTTCGCCAGGCCAGCCTTCCGCAACGACGCTGAACTCACTTGCACTAGCCACGCGTCAATCGATGAGACGCTACGGATGTCGAACTTGTGCCGCGCATAAGATACGTGCGGTGGAAACTGCAGGGTGGCCGTTGGCTCTAACTGGAGCTTCGTGACGGTCATGTCGTAAGTGTCCTTGAAGGAGTCGTCGTCCAAGCTCGTCTTGCTCGCCTGCGCGAGAGCGAGGGGCAAAGCGATCGGAGGGCAAGGCGAAACGGAGGAGGAGGAGGGAGGCGAAACAGAAGATCTGGAATGTGGATGAAAAAGAATGGAAGGCATCAGTGCCTGTTCCACGATGGCCATGATCGCTGTGAGCTTCTTCCTGGCGATCGTCAGTTTATCGATCTCCTCACTGTCGGGCTCCTTTTTCAAGCGGTTGTCGATGTCCTTGGCGATGTCCCTCAAGCTGCCGAGGATGGACTTGACCTCGGACCCCCACCAGCAAGCGTCTGTCGGCAGGGACGAAGAGAACTGCTCCTCGTACTCCTCAACCTTTTGAACCAAGGGCTTCTTCGGGCGGCCGCGGGGTCCTTGCCCTTGGTTGGATTTGCCCTTCGGCTTCGCCTTCGGCTTGGCCGCGGCCGCGTTGCTGGACTCCTCCCCGGCAATCGTCGGGCGCCCTCCATCGTCGGCCTGCTGCGGGGCGAGGCGCGCGCCCAGCATAGATCCACTGATGCCAGCCCCCTTCGCCCGTGCCGACGTCGGCGGCGACGTGGCGGGGTCGCCGTCGGAAGCCGCGAGCACGGCGCCCACGGCATCGCCCTGCAAGAACGTGCCGCCGAAGTCTGGGACGAACGAATCCGCAATGGCCCTCATGCGCGTGTCGACGTTGCCCCCCTCGTCCGCCACTTGGCCGAGCTTGATCTTCTTGTTGACGCTCTGCACGGAATTGAATTCTACTCGCTTGAACTTCTTGTCTGGGACGATAACGACCGTTGCGCCCCCGCTGTCGACAGACTTGTAGTGGCCCTTCTGCGTTTGAATTTTCCCGTCGTTCTCAGCCATGTATTCGTCGTAGTCCCACTCCTCGTACCCAGGCTTCTTCGCGACAGCCTGCAAGCTCTCCGTGACGTCCATCTGCGCAGCAGCCTGGGGGGAATGGATCACGCGACCCCGAGGAAGGGCCCCCCCGAGAAGCGCACGATAACGCGATCACGCGATCCCGAGGAGGGCTCCCCAAGAGTGAAGATTCCCCCGAAAGGCGCACGTGATCGCGCGATCCTGAGGGGAGCTCCCCCACCCCCACATCGGCCTCTCACTGGCCACCGCTGGGGCCACCCCACCTGGGAACCTCTTGAAACCCTCGAGGCCCGTCACGGGCCTGCCCATGGGGCCAAAGGCAGTCTCGGGGCCCTTAGGAAGGCTCATATGTAATCCCAAGATGGCGACGAGAGGGCGCCCAATGCGGCCACGCGAGAAGCCCCTCGCGCTCTCCCGAGCCCTCCTGGAGCCAAATGGGGCCCAAAAGATTACTTCTTGCGACCTCCAGAGAGCCCCGAGACGAGGAAACCCCACCGAAGGCCTCATCGGCAGGGTTCGCATTACGGCATCGGGTCATACTCCTCCTCCTCCTCCCCCTCCTCCTCCTCCTCCTCCTCCTCCTCCTCCTCCTCCTCCTCCCCCTCCTCCTCCTCCTCCTCCTCCTCCTCCTCCTCTCCTCCTCATCCACCTCCTCTCCCTCCCCCCCCCCGCCCCCCCCGCTCCTCCTCCCCCCCCCCCCCCCCCCCTCCTCCCCCACCTCCTCCTCCTCCTCCCGCGAGGACAAGAAAAAAGGCACCGACGCAGATCCAGAAGAGATCCCAATTAGAAGATTTGCCCAATAATTTTCGCGAACAACAGCCCCAAAGCCAGTCCAGCAGGGACCAAACGCAGCCCCGAGGCAAATCCAACAGAGACAAACATAAAGGCGTCAATCCACCGCCACCTCACGAGCATGAGGAGGAGGAGGAGGAAGAGGAGGAGGCCTCTTCCTCCTCCTCCTCCACCTCCTCCCCCGCCCTTCCCCCTCCTCCTGCACCTCCTCCTCCTCCTCCTCCCCCCGACGGATCTGACGCATTACAATGTCTGTGCCGTTTGCCAACCCACGCATCATCCTCCACGGACTCCCAGTCAACGTGGCCATTGCGACTGCCACCGCGATCGATGATGGCCTTGATCAGCGTCTTCTGCAAGCTGAGGTGCAGCTGGTGCCGGGCGTCGTCCCGGCCCAGGTTGTTAGCGTACACCGTCATCGTCAAGCCTTTGATGCCCCTGAGCCTGGAGGTGAAGATTCGCTGGCAGTAGAAGCAAAAATCCAGCGAGCCCTTCAGGGCTTGAGTGGGTTAGGTTGCCAGCTCTGATCAAGGCCCTGATTCTAAGGTTAACCCCCCCATGCCCTCTCCCCCAGGGCATGGAGCATCCAAGGTCAGCCAACGATGCGCGCAAAGGTTGACATCCACTCAAGAAAACGCTGTTTTAGTAACGGTGCCTGCCCGCCCAAAATACGACGCGGGCTTGCATTAGGGCCTAATACAAGCCCTCCGTGGCCAGATCGATGCCCTCCAAGATGACGCCCAGAGACCTCCCGCATCTATCCGCAGAACCCCAAGCCCCCTTCGCTTGCTCCATGGCCAACGACCGCGGCCTCAGAAACGGTCGCGCTTGAGACGGCTAGTCTAGACCAAACTTGGTCTGGACTAGCCGTCTCAAGTGCGACCGTTTCTGGTGCCACGATCGCGCCGCAACGGCTGTTGTTTGGGAATGGGCTGGCGGGGGTGCGCGAAGCGCAAAGACTTGCCTTGGGTCTCGCCGTTGGCCCCCGCCGGCTTGCCCCAGGACATATACACGGTCCGCCCGAAGTGCTTCTCGACTGGGTCTTCGTCATCGTCATGGAATACACAAATGAGGCACTTCTTGTGGGACGGCCTCCGCACCGCAGGGACTGGTTCGGGGTTGGCATCGGCCAGCGCCCGCTCCATCTCCTCCCCCCCGGCAGACGCGCGCGACGCAGCTCTCCTGGACCCGCCACTCCGCGCGCCATGTCTCGACATGCTCTGTCCTGGCCCGAGAGCCAAGCCCATCTGCGAGGGCTGCGAGGGCTCCCCCATGGCCCGGCGACGCAACTCGCAGGGCCGTCGGGGCTCGGCAAACTCAGCCAAAAAGGCTTGCTACAAACGCGATGGGGCCCAAGAGGATTCGGGCTCAACTGAACCAGGATGCAATCGAAAACGTTTAAGGCAACTCGCTATCGAACTGCCCACGTCATGGAACGATGCGTCTAAGCGACGCGCGCCCAGGCAAAGCGCCAAGACAATCCACAGAGACTGAGCCCAAGACGACCGACCAGCACCCAATCACAGGAGAGACTGAGAACAACCAGGCGCGGGCTCCACATCCCACGGCCCAGGCAGGGGACAAGCTGAACCCAAGACGACCGACGCGGACCCAAAGACCATCTGACCCGCGCCCAGGCGCGCGAGTTGAGACCCGCGCCCAGGCACGCGAGAGCGGACAAGCGGCCCAGGAGGCCCCATATAATAGAACATGCGAGTTTACATCAGAATTGGAGATTGGGGCAATCTCTTCTTTTCGGTTTCCGACGGCCCAAGACTCCCAAGAGGCCCCCAAGATGGCCCCCAAGGCCCCCAATACAAAACCCAGACGGCCGACCCGCGCACAAGCACGCGGCCGCATGCCCACGACCCAGGCACGGTCCGCAAAAAGGCATTGGGCGAGAAGCAAGGGGGAGGAGAGGGGGAGGAGAAATTGGGGAGGACGCTTGGCCCCCCCTGAACTCCCGAAACGATATGTCACTCCGTCTTATGATCGCGATCGCCTGGACAAGAAACGTCTAAGCGCTGAAAGCGGCTGCAAGCGGAGAACGCCGCGACATGCGGCGCCGAGAATGGAGCTGCGACCCCTCAGTCGCTGCTGGCCGAAACGTCGCTGGAATCGACAACATCTTCAGCGCCCCCCTCATCCGGGGCGCCACTGTCGCCCTGGGCTGCATACGGGCTCGGCTCATAGAATCGGCCGAACGTCGAAAGACTTGCGATCGCCCACGGGCCCAGGTGGAAGAGCGAATACGCATTGCCCGCCATGTTCGAGATCATGTCGAGGTAGCTGAAATCCTTGGTTTGGTCATTCCTGCGCTTCCACATCGCGGCGTCCCAGCCGATCATCGTGAAGAGCTCGATCGGCTCAACCGCCCTGACATGGACGACGCCACTGCTGCGGTACCGCACGATCATCGTCATGCTGCCAACCAATGTCGGGGGCCTCGATGACCACGGCGACGGCGCAACAGCATCACCAGTAACACTTTTCGGGCGGTAAGTGTCCTCGTCCAGGTGCCGCTTGATGGTCCGCTGCGTGCTCTGGTTCACGTCGAAGAACTCCATCTGGGTGCCGATCGCCATCGGGAAGAGGACGTGCGACATAACTGCGAGCTCGAACTCGCGAGGCAGCATTCCCGACCTATGGATGACATCGCCGCCAACGGGCGGCGCCGCATGGTCAAAAGGCCACTGAATGCCATTCGCCTGGAAGATCTCCCTGTGCTCGTGCTTCCAATTCGGATCATCCTTCTTCGACTTGCTCTCCCTGCCAACGCCGAAGTCGGACCACAGTGGGATCCCAGAGACTGTCGACATGCGCTTGAGAAACTCGTCGTTGGTTTCAATACACGGCCAGGTTTTCGGGTTGTCGGCATCGCTGGCGTTGGGCAGCCTGCACGCCACCAGCACTCGATTGAAATGGTGAGCGATCTCATCCGGCGAACCTTTCATGTGCAGCATTCCAGTCCAATACGTCCGCACGCGCCGCGGGTAAGCCCCGAAGTCGCAGGAGTCAAGCGTGCCGTGGTGAGCCCAGTACCCCATCTTCTTCAGCTCGCTGGTAACCCAAGAAGCATCCGAATCCTGCTGAACGCCACCCTCCTGATTCAATTCCTTAACGCACTCCAAGTGAACGATAGTCGGCCAATGCTGCTTGATGACGCTGAGGGTCTCATTGAAACCGACGCCCGTCGCCTCGCGGCTCTCCTGGACGCAGCCAAGGTTGGCAGCCCGCCGGCACGACAACGGCGTCCTCGAAGTGCAAGGCGGCCCGGCGTCTAAAATGAAGCACCACGGCAATAGCTCCTCGGTGCCGCCGCGGGCGTCGTTGTCACTCGAAGGAGATTTGAGCTTCTTCACGTCCCCGACCAAGAAGCGAGGGCTGAACTGGTCCATGATGTGCTGCTGCTTCTCTGGGTTGAGCTCGCTGTACACCGTCGTGTCGAATACCACTTCGATTCCGAACTCCCTGTTCAACACGGTCTGCAGCGCCGAGTAGAAATGCGTCCCCACCCCGCTACCTGCGAACAAACTCCAGCGCGCGGCAATGCCCTCCGGGACCTTGGAAGCGAAGCTCCTCAAGCCGTTGATGCAATCGATTTCGACTTCAGGGCCGAGCTCCGTGAGCCAGCGGCGCACCATGTGCTCGGCCAGATTCCGAGGCTCAAACTCTGAGCACGCGCTCACGTGGGGTCGCAGCTTCCTCCGGGGCGTGGAGAAGGACTCCCCGATGATCTGCACGGCGTCCTCGTCGCCCTCGGCGCCAGCCTCCCGCTCCAGCGGGTCGTCGACCTGAGGGGCGGGGCGTCAAGTTCTGAGGCGCTGCCATTCACAGGGGGCCAACGCTTGCGAACTGTCTACATCGGGGGGGTCGCTCTCAATCGATCGTCGCTGCGGATACTTACCAATAGCAAACCAGAAATCTCTCAAACCTTAAATCCAGTCAGCACTTTTTATTCACATCGATATATTAAATCTTTTTAAAACCATCAAATACATTATTTACGAAAATCTCCGAAAATCCTCGGGGGATTCTGAACAGGCGAAACGCCTGAGACATCCTCGCAAACCGCGCGAACCAAAATCTCAGAAAATCCTCTGAGAAAAATGATTTATTAAATCAAGCAACTATTAAATAAAACAATTAAGATATTCAAAAACATTTTTGTATCATGCTTATATCACGCGCCAGCGCCTGCTAACCTCAAAAGACATCCCGCGCCATGATGCGATTCTCCTGGGAGGGGGCCCTGCTCCGACCCCCCCTGCCCCCCCCCCCTCCTCGCCCCTTCCCCCCTTGTCCAAGAGTTAGTGTTCAACGCCGCTCCTCCGCCTCCTCCTCCTCTTCATTCTCCTCATCATCCTGCATGTGAAACGTAACTCGTCCTCCTCTTCCTCCTCTTCCAGGTCCGCAATGTTTCGCGCGCGGCCTGAAAAGCCCAAGCCTTGCTGCGCAACCTCAGAAACATGCCGCCCAGTGGGGCGAGGAGGAGATTAAGGGATGGGATGAAGAGGGGGAGAAGCAGCGGCAGGAGGATAAGCACGATGAGGGACGGGCGGGTGGAGGAGGGGGGAGGGAAGGAAGAGCAGACGGAAATGGAGATGAACGCGCGAGTTGGGGAGCTAGCCAACGACCTGGCAGTGATCGTCATCGGCGCCGCCCTCCTCGTCCCCCATGCAGCTCTTGGAGTCGCCGAAGTCCGCGCCCAAGGCGTCGGCCAAGCTGCCGCCCACCGCCGCGATGGCGCCGACCGCGTCGTCGTCATCCCCGAGGACGCTGGGCGACGCTGGTTCGCGCTCGCAGGCGCCACGGACCGCCGAGGCTGGGGGCGCTGGGGCTGGCGCGCCGACCGAGGACTCGACAGCGAGCTGCTCGGTCTGGTTCTCCGACCCCGCATCCTCGCGGCCCTCGGGCTGCGGCGGCGACGGCGAGGCGGCAGCGGTCAGCGCCGGGGCCGACGCTCCGAGCTCGCCATCCTCATTGGCCACCGCGCTCTGCACCTTCCTCAAGGGTGGGAGGCCGCTCACCTGCGGCCGCACTGCCACGCACACAGGCGGTGCAAGTAACGCTTTAGTCAACTCCTCGAAGCTTGGCGGCTGACGATCGGCATCATCCTGCGGGTCTGTATGCGCCATTGCTATCGCAACGCCGCCTGGATCATCTCTGTGCTTGCGCAGCGCCGCCTTCTTCTTCTCTTGCCACTTCCTCACCCGGGCGATGGCGGTCTCGACAATAGCGTCGATGCCCTCCTCGGTGTAGGTCTTAGCGTCTGCTAGTGAGACCCTGATTTTGCCAAATGCCCCCTGCTCCTCTCCTCCGTCTGCAGCTGAGCTCTGCGCCTGAACTGACCCTGCGCCTGTGACGTCGCTCGCCCTCTGTCTCTTGTCCTGCGAAGTGTCTCCGCCATCCCCAGAGCCTCGAGATGGAGAGGTGGGATTCGCTTGCTTCCTGGCCCGCTTGGCCATATTGCCAAATCTGTTTGAAGCCGAATGGCTATGGACGATGGGGAGGAGTGCGCGCCACCGTCGGCCAAGTACAACGATGACTGGCACGATGGGTTCGATAGATACGCTTGGCGAACAAGGAGCTGCGAGCTATTCGGTGCAATCTACTCGCAGCGCGCTGCATCCAGCCACGACTGCATTGCAATAGGCCGAGCGCGACTGAGCCTCTGTGGGCTTGCCTGGCGCGCGAGGCGGCAACGAGGCGCGAGGGGCGGCGACAGCGCGATGACCGTCGGAAAGCCGATCGACATCCAAGGGGCGCGCCGCAAGGACCAAGACGCATGCAACAACATGCGTTCCAAGCTGATACGTCTTGGAAGTGAATCGGGCCGTCTTGGACTTGCATGGCGTCTCCAACGCCTCAATCCCTATGGGCAGCGGGAGGCCCTGAAACTGTGGTGGCCCCGAGCCCTCGTGGTTTCACACACCTCATGGCCTTTTGGAGGCTCTCAATACCCCCCGAAGACCTCTCCCCCCCCCCCCCCCCCTCACGCCTGACACCAAGGCTCTGGGAGGCCCTGACACTGCGGGGGCCCCGGGCCCTTGGAGCTCCCGACGCTTGACCCCGGGCCTTGATATGCCCCGAGAAACCCTGAGGCTATGGAGAGTCCGAGTCCCGAGATCCCCTCGCGCCTGACGCCAGAGCCCAAGGGCCCTGAAAAGCCCAGAGGCTCTGGAGACCCATGGCCCCCGCGGCCTTGCCCTGAGACTCTGAAGACCTCCAGCTCTCCAGACCCCTGGAAACCCAGAAACCCTCGGAGGCCTAACCTAGGACCTCGGGCGGGGGAGGGTTGGCCATGGGGCCATGGGCCATGCCGAACGGCGCGACCAGCAACTCGGCAAGTGGCTTGTTTTCCGAACTACGACCGTCCCTCGCAGCGCTTTCTCAATGAACTCTGCCAATGGCTGACGCGTTGTCGCGGCGAGCCCTCGCAAATGATAGCCAGACCGATGCTGACGCACGAGGCCGTGCCTGCGCGGAGAGGAAGTGCCTGTACGACGTGCATTACTGAGAATGACAACCCAACCCCTGAATGTAATGTAAGACTCGCTGGCCGAAGAGACAATGGCCATGGTTCCAGGTGACGCACCCCTCCCCCTCCCCCTCCCATGACCCCCCTCCCCTGTCTCATCCATGCTCCATGCCAAACTCAACTCGGCTGGGGCGACTAATTGTGCCGAATGCGCAATGGTTCCTCGAAAGACCCCGCAGGGTGGTGCCGCCGTTCTAATTCGAGGAGCTCCTTATAATTGTTCTCAGTTTCGCGATCAACCAACCACTTCCGGGCGTCGATTCTCGTCTGCCACTGGGCGGCAGAACGCAACTCCCCTAGAATGCCCGAGTGCTTCGCACGAGTGTCGCATTCTGGATGCAGGTGAGGGTGCTGGAGAAAAGCTACCAAGTATCCTAAGCCTAAGCGGTTGCATTTTTTGTTAGCCCTGCAAAGACCGTGGCCTGGGAATTTACAATGGGCCCCCAACTGGTCATCAATGGCATCGTAGACGATGCACGAGCCGTGATCACCGATCGGCCAGCGCGCCCACGGCCCAGCAGCAGGCGGCGGGGGCGCAGGAGGCGGCGGCGGCTCGCCCTCGGCAGGCGCCCCTTCAACGGCAAGACCGCCTGGAAGATGCGGCGGTTCATGCGGAGGTAGAAGTGGGGGCGGGGGAACGCCAGCATCGCTGTCGACATCAGAGCCCTCCCTGCTCGGAGCGCTGCCCCGATGGTCGGACGACGAACCCTCGCCCTCCTCGGCTCCAGCTGGGCCCAGGTGCACAGGGTCTCCAGCTCCTGGGCCTGGGTGCGCGAGCGGGCCGACGGCTCTGACGCCTGGCCGTCGTCGCCGCTTCGCGACTGCCGGGCCGCAGGCGGCCTTGAAGCCGTCCTTCATGAGCTTCAGCCCCCTGTCCACTGGAGCGCGCGCCTTGATGCACGGGTGCACGCGCTGCTCCGTCTGGAGAAGGTTATCATCAACATCCGTTTGCAAGAATACCTCCCTCGCTGAATCGACTGCGCGATCCCGATCCACTGGCGCAGGTGACACATGCAATTCAAGAGGGTGGTCTCGAGGAGACTCCATGATCACAGAGCCCACGAGGGACGCGCCAGTGATGCAGGGGAAGATGCCGTCGGCGTCCTCGATGTCGATGCTGAGGCGCCTCGAAGCCGGGTCGAAAGTACAAGGCAAAAACAACGACACCCGCGGGTTGCCGCCTCGCAGGTGCCCCAAGGCAACCCAAGTGACAACGTGCCAGTCAGGCCCAGTGACAAACCGCAAGCGATGGAAAGAACCACGAGGGTGACGGCCCATTGCCCTGGCGAGATCCTTCTCGCATTCCTTGGCTCGCTGCACAACCCAAGCGTTGGTCTCTGCACATAGTCCAGGATGCGCCAGAGGGCACGGAATGTAATATTCGAACACATCTGACTCCTTGATGGCCTTGCGATCAGGAATGAACAGGCCATCGACATGACTATCTCGGAAGCAAGGCGCATAGCGCGTAAATCCTGCTGGCTTGCCCTTCGAATCCTGCCCCAGCTTGATGCGAACGCGCCGCTCGAAAGACTCCGTCGTGTAAGGCGTCCGGGCGTCGCCGACGGAGTCGACGAACGTGGCGAACCGCCGCCTGCCCACGCACGGTGGTTCGCCCCTGATGACATCGGGATGATCAACGCGATAGGGCTGCGCCCCTGGCGGTTGGAACTTCTCGCCGCTGGCTGTCCGCCACGCCGCGTACTGCTCGCTATTCATGATGGCCCCGTCGACTGCGACGAAACGCTGTCTGCTCGGAGAAAGCAGAAGGTCGTCGCCGTCGAACTCCTCCCCCTGCTCTCTGGCCAACCTGCCAGCGAACGCCAGCTGCGCTTCGGCCTGCTCGACTTTCCTTGCCTGCTCCCCCAATTGCCTGAACTCTTCACCCTTCGCTGCCTGCCAAGCTCTGTAATGGCACTTAGTCATGGTCGCCCCCTCAAGTGCCAGCTGCTCCTTGCGAGCCCCCTCGGCCTTCATCATGAAATTCACGAATGGCCCCCGAGGCTTGGGGGTTCGCTCTCGCTCGACGCAACGAAGGGCTACTCCATCCTCTACCAGCTGCTGCCTTTCAAGGAGACACATGTAAGCTACCTGCACACTAAGATACGAAATCAGCGACTCGCCCTCCTCGCAGGGGACAGGCAAACCCGAAACATTCCTGCTGGGAAAAGACCCCGTTCGATAACCATTACGCGCGCCTTGGGCCGCGGCTCCGAGAGGACCCCCAAGAATCCTTCGAGGGGGCTCCGCGAGAGCCCTCGGATAAACCTCCACCCCTTCCCCTCAGTTGCAAGGGCGACGGCCGCAATCATGACAGAAGGGGGTCGGACCCTGTTGGGGCCCGCGTGGGCCTTCCTGGTGCGGTTTGGGGCAAGCGTTTGCCTTGGCTCTCGCAACCTCCAGCTTTCGAAAAAAAAAGCTCCAGGTCGAGACCATGGCCCATCATGACGCTCTCTTGAAACCCCGTTGAACCCTCTTGGGCTCGGCTTCGGCTCCCCGGCGCCCCCCGAGGACGTCTCGAGCCCCTTCGAAGGACACGCGACCCTCGGTCACTCGAAGCTTACCAGTCGAAACGACTGCCCAAATCGAATGAACGGGAGCTGGAAACAATCTGGGAGGCAGTTCTGGGTGCTGTTTACATGTGCGGGCCTGGACTTGGAAACAGGAGTTGCGAATCCTTTGGCAGCGTGCTCCCGGAGCAGCTGCGACAGGAACCCGTTGCTACACACTCGTTCTACGTCGACGTCGCCATCGTCCGTTGACTGGCGTATCTGGGCGAGAAGCCTCTCAGTCCACATGTCCGTGAAGTGGTAATTCGTCGCCCACGTTACTAGAAGCCTCCTGAAATCCAGATCCTGCGGGGGGGGGGGGGCGCCGAAGAGCAAGCGCCGACGCAAGATGTGATCATCGGGCCGCAGTTCTACGCCGCCTCCTCATCCCCAACCTCCTCTCCTTCATCCTTCCCCCCGCTGGGCGTCTGCGCTTCGGCGCCCCCCATGGGTCCTGCCGCAGCGCCTGCGCATCGGCAAAGATGTTCGCAACCTTCGCGCAGAAACCTCGGTGGCGGCAACACGGCTTCCTGGCGTCCGAGAAGAAGAAGTCAGCGACCGCATCCTGGTCGGCCTTGCTCACGCCTGGGTGGATCATGCGAGCCCATTGGTATGGGAAGTCCTCGTAGTGCAGGAAGCGCCAATACATCTGGCTAGCGAAATCAAGCCCGAGTCCTCGGAGCCTCTCCATCATCACGCGCTTCAAGCGGTCTGGGAACGAATCGAAGATCGGCTTCATCTGCCCAGTGGGCCCATCGGCGACCAGCGCGGTCAACTTGCGGCGGCAGACGAAGAATGGATTCAAGCCATTCCTGAGTACAATATCATATAGCCCCCTGCCAGCTTCGTCCAACCACTGTAACTCTGAAGACAAACGTTCGAGAGGAGCACCAATCCAGCACATCAAAACTATGTCGATGGTCTGCTGCTCATTGTGCAGGACTTTCTTGGATCGCCATGTCTTCTTTTGAACCTTCATACGCGCCGGCTGCGCGTTAATATCATCATAGTTCCCCCCGAGGTCGTCTGGTTCCATCGCGTGCCAATCTGGGAAGCACACGTCGAAGACTTGCACGAGCACGAAGTGGCAGAGAATGCCCGTTGAAGATTTCCCGCAAGCCGCCCCGCACGTGCCCCAATCATCTTTGCATGGGATGTCGCACTCCCGCGACTGGAGAAGATCGATGCCGATGGCGGCAGCGAACAAATTTCGTTGCGCATCTTCCTTGTCGGCGCAGCAGCCGTTACAAACGTGAACTATGGTATGGCTGGACCAATCTCCGTTCCAGAACTTGAGGAAGCACTTTGCATGCTCATCAAGGTCGCGCTCTCCAGGCGCATCAGGGTCATTGGCAATGCAAGACGACCTGCGTCTCAA